CAATTTCGACGACCTGTATACTACTGCTACACTTAAGACCTTCGACTCATACCATCTCCTTCTCACATCCAACCGTCTATTGCATACATACGGAGCGCCCCTTCCTCTTGATCGCCGTGGTCGCAGACTGTTGTCACTCGCCCCCTTTCAGCTTGATCGTTGGATCTTCGGGCGGCAGTTTTAAATCAGGAATAAGAAAATATACACCTGATTTTCTGCACCTGCGTGGTATTTTTGATTGCAGAGTGGTGGAGCCCAAGCATTTTTCGTTTTATTTTATTTTATTTTATTTATTATTTTCCAACCCCCGCGACGCCTTATCTGTTGTGATATGCAAGGGAGTCCAGACTTCCCCGATCATCGATCTGGCCATCTATCTATATACATATACCCAGATACCCATTATTCACTGCTGCGACCTTCTCACCAGCAACAACAACAACACGATTCACTCTTGTCAAAAGAGTATTTATCCTTCTAATACCACAATCTCCTCTCCACTCTCCATACTCTTACACACTTCCACATACTCCTACATCTTCGACTTGCTTCCAACGCGACACCTTCTCCTTGGTATCACACCTGTTCCAGTTCTACCAAGACCAAGAGAAGACACTCCACACACACCGGAACAATGTATCCCTGCCTCGCCTTCAGTCACAACCAGTCCAGTATCAGGTCCACTCCGAGCGAAGCCAGCCCGACCCTCATCAACCACGTTTCCACCATCACTGACAGCTTTATGGGCGATGGCTACTTCAACTCCTTCGACTCGGAGGTTCCTAGAGCCCCTCCCCCATCTCTGGACAACGATACTCTACTCGATATTCATCCCCGCAAGACCTCCTTCTCTGATGTCCTTGGAATGAGCAGCGCCTGTGCTTTTCCCTCTTGGCCCAAGCGTCCCAGTCTGCTGAGCTCAGACTCGGAGGGATCCACTGCTTCTGCTTACCTCTCGGACGAGGACCTACTGTTCTCCAGTGGCCCAGCTTCCTCCTCAGAGTCCGCTATTGAAGAGGAATCTGCTGCTCAGGAACCGGCCATGGGCGCTCATTCCTTGACCACCGAACAACAGATCCAGATGGTGCGCGCTGCTGTCGAAGAAGAAGCTCACCGCGCCCGTTTCCTGGCTCAAGTTCAAGCCCATGCGCGCGCCCAGCAAGCTCTCCGTGTGGCTCAGATGGCAGCAGCAGAAAAGGAGAACACAAAGAGCAAGAAACGCAGAACCTTTTCGGACAGGAAGAGACGCACGACATTCGTCAGGACCATTTCCAGTCGTTCTTAGAGCATTGGGGTGTTGTCATCGCATCTTTCTTACTTTTGTTACACCATAATCGTCATGATACCGTGATACCCCAACTGCTCGCGCCTTGGTCCACCCAAGTCTTTTCTTTACAACTTGTTTCATCGGTCTCCGGAGTTCTGGCATGTCAGCTGCATCGCCACTGCATAGCGCTTTCGATTCATTTTTTTTTATTTTCCCATTTTGAACCTCCTTCAACAGCTATCAACACTCCTATTTCTCGAATCGCAGCAAATGATAGCGTCTGCCTGCTGTCAGATGCAGAGTGGAAGGCACCTGCTCTGGACCTTTCTGGAAAGGATGAGCAAAGCGCGAGTCTCTGGCGATGATGTGAGAGAGGATATGCACGTGCATCACTCAGGGTCTCATGCGGCGACTTGGTTGGTTGGTTAGGTTTGCGCCGACGCAGGCGCACGGAATTCCAAGGCCGACCGGGTGCGCCGTGATTTGTTGCCCGAGACTGGCCGCCTGATTACATAATTTTCCCCTCGCTGACGGCGCATTGCAACCAAAATCAAAAAAATAAACCAACTGGTCATCCCCCTCCTTCTGCTGGCCGGTCTCCGCCTTGTTTCCCTTCCCTCGCCTGCTTATCGTCGTGGCGTTCTCTCCTCTGCAACACTGACAGGGGGTTCTTGCGCCACGGATCAGCCTATCAATCTTCACGATCTCACCGCCATTGTGCCAGGCGCTTTCGATCAAGTCATTGTACCTAATAACAATGACTCACCGGAGATGATGCTGTCGCAGTTGCTGTCCAGGCCTGATGGCCATCCTCGAATCTTCCCGGCCCGGTCTTATCTGCCTCCTTTTACATCACGTTTTCTTTTCTCGTCGTTCTGATGCGTTGTCGCGATGGCGTTGGTGGGCATAGCTGGCGCTCTGTCCTCTCGATATTTCGGGCTTATTCTTTTCTTTGTTTCTTCATCATCAGCGAGCATGAGACCATCTGTCCTACCTTGTTTTTAGCGTTTTGATATCCTGTATTTAGATACCCAGTCCTGTACTTTGGTCACATCCTGTTCTGGCGCCTCATACCCCGAGTCTGTTACATCACAGCTCTTGCGTTGCTTTTGTGTTCTGGTCGGATTTGAAGCATATCTGCTAGCATAGCATGCACCGTATAGGGTAGCATAGCATTGCAAATACTATTAATTTCGGATGAATATGTTTACTTCCATTCAAGTAGTTAAGAGTAATGTAGTCTAGATAAATACAATCCAGTGTAACATTCAAGTAACCAGTCCCTCTAATCATTACATGCATTATCATATACTAAGGTACAATCAGTAAAAATCTATAGAGTACTCTACAGCCCCTTCCCAAGCAACTCCCCACCAACCTCCCTGGTCAACCCCTCCTTCGCAAAAACCTGCATTTCCCCCTTGGCCTTCACCGTCTCCGCAATCCCCATCGCCCGACAGAGATCGACAACCGCCCCATCCGCCGGCGCCTCGTACACCAGTAACCCCAGCGCAAACAAGAGCCCATGCAGCGCCTCCGCGCTCTCCGCTTCCTGGGCGATCGCCTCAACCAGCGATGCGGTGAGCTCGACCTGTTCCTCCTCGGTGAGTTTATCGGGGAGGCCGGCGAACCGCGCGTTGTGGTTCGCGGCGGAGAGGTTGTAGGCCAGGGAGGCGGCGACGGTGCGGAGGTTTGGATGCGGGTCTAGAAGGGAGGAGGTGGTGAGGGTTAGGACTGTGGTGTGGAGGTTGTTGTTGTTGGCGGTGTTTGTGGTGAGATGGTCGAGGTAGAGCGGGGAGCTGAAGAGGTTGCAGATGAGCTGGAGCATGACGATGCGGAGGTTGTAGGGGCAGGAGGACAGGTTTGTGGATGGGGAGAGGAGGGTGAGGAGGGTGGTGTGGTTGGGTTCTTCGGCGAAGAAGCTTGATACCCTTGTGTCGAGGAAGAGAAGGCGGGCGAGGTCGACGAGCGCGAAGTGGTTCTCTGGAGGGAGGGCGTAGAAGGTGGATTGGAGGTAGGAGGCGAAGGTTGGGAGGGCGTCGGGGAGGGCGACATCTGCTGCTGGGCTGGTGGGTGTGGTTGATGATGAGCGGGCGGTGATGAACGCGATCATGGACTTGAGACGCGGGTCCTCGTGGTGCGGCTGGAGTTTCTGGACTAGTTTGTCTAGCGGAGGGACCTTCTTGTACATGACGAAGTTGGATAGATGACGCTGAAAGCTGGGGAGATGGAGTTGGCGATGGCGATGGGTCGGATGGGCCATCTCGATGAGTAGACGCACGTTGCCGCGCAGCTTGGGCGGGTCGGCACCGCTCCATTCGTCGAGTTTGTTGCCTTTGAGGAATGTCATGAAAGTCGGGGTCGCCCGTACCCCGTACTTCATGCTGACGTCGTAGGCGGCGCTGATGTCCACCTTGATGAGGACGGCTTTGTCGCCTGCCTCCTCCGCCAGTTCATTGTAGGTAGGATAGACAACCTTGCACGGTGGACATGTCGCTGAGGTGAAAAAGATGACTGCACACGATTTGACCGCTGATTCGAGTTGTTCCTCGAGCTGACTGACGTTGCTGACCTGCCGTACAGTGCCAGGGTGCGCTGGCGCTGCAGCTGTGACTGGTGCCCTGGGAAGCGGCTGAGGAGCCGGCGCTGCAGCCTGCGTCACACCGCGCAGAGCCTGTTCAATCTGCGGCTTCATCATCTGGCCAAATGGGGTGCTCAAGAATGTCTGAGGCAAGTTTTGAATGTGTTCTGGGATGCTCTTTCCGACCAGGAACATTGCAAGATCCTGTGTGAAATTGTTGCAATTGTGCAGAAAGAGGTCATACGACTGTCGGTGATGCTTTAGCTTATGCCTAATGCGAGGACGTGCAAGAGTTCCATACCTCTGGTGTATAAATCGACGCCAGCGACTGGATATACTCTTCGATCACGTCGATGGGGAGCTCGGTTTTCCCGAGAAGCAGCTTCTCCATTGGCTGTCCGTGATGTGTACTGCCAGGGACAGATGTTTGTATCCCCTGGCCAAAGTAGTACTCGACACCATTGAGTACAATAGACGTGTGATATATGGCATCAATATAAGTTCCAGTCAATGCCAACGAATACTGCAATATGTTAGGACAACCACTACTGGGTCTGGGAATGTGCGGTAAAGCCATACCATCCTTGCGAGACCCTACAGATAACGTTAGTATACGCAAAAAAAGTACTTTAGAGATCACCATACCTTGGAGAGGTCATAGACATAAAGCTCTACGTCCATCTTGACGTGGATGAGGCAGAAACGAGTCCAGTCAAATCAAATGAAGTCCTTACTTGACAACAACGGCCTGTATTCAGAAAACTATCTAAGATTTGTCCAAAGATTTGATGTGATCGACCGGCTGCGTCTGTTACAAAAGTTGCAGGAAATACAGGCATCAATTGGATCACGTCAGCCGATCTCCGTCACGAGGATTCCGTCATGTTCGATCAGATACTATCATTTTGGCATGTGTCTAGACTGCTAATCTTATCATGCAAAAACCTTTGATTATCCAACGCAAAATCGCAATTGCTGGAAAGAAACCCATGGATCCTGAAGAGAGACCCTGGTAGAAACTCTGTAGATCTTATCGCGAAGCTATCGCCCATGGACCACTCGGAGAGCATTCCTTCTCCGCACCCGCATCTCTTCCTTTGACGACAACATCTCCAAATCGACTGCGCCATACTCTGCATTGCAACCTGCGACATGGTAAGTACACATTTTCCTCCTCCTTTTTCATCATCAGCGCCACTAATTCACCGTCCATCAGCCCCCCAAGAAGCGCAGCGCCCCCGCCACCTCGTCAGCCCCGAAGAAAGCACGCCAATCCAAACTCGCCAAAGAAAACGACATCAGCGCCGAAGAAGAAAGCGAAATTAAAGAAGTCTTCCACCTCTTCTCAACCACAGCCGAAGAATTTCCCAATGAAAAGGAAGGCGTTATTCCCCGCGAGGACGTGCGCAAGGCGCTCGTGTAGGTCCTCCCCATTCATCTACAACTACAACCCCAGCGTTGAACGCGGTGTTGACGCATCACAATTAGAGCGCTAGGTCTCCCTCCGTCCGACTCGAGCGAGCTCCACTCGATCCTCTCCGCCGTTGATCCAACGAACACCGGCTTTGTCCCGTATGCGCCGTTTGTGTCCGTCGCGGCGGCGAAATTGAGGTCGCGGTCTGATGAGGCGATGTCCGCCGAGGTGGATGCGGCGTTTCAGCTTTTCACAAAAGGGACAGATGGGCCCATTACGTTGGGACATCTGAGGCGCATTGCGCGCGAGTTGAAAGAGGATAACCTCGGTGATGAGTTGCTCAAGGATATGATCCTCGAGGCGAATGGTGGCGCCGGGGTGAATGCTGGTGTTACGCTGGAGCAGTTTCATGATGTTATGACTCGGGCTGGGGTCTTTTAATTGCACTTTGTTCCATTACTTTCTTCTTTTGGGTGGGTTAAAGGCGTTCGAGGTGGTGTTACTGTTTTAGCGGGTGCCTAGGTTGGGGTTCTCATGTTTATGTCTTGTCGCATCTTGTTGCATATACAGAGCTAGGTTTCATCTGGTGCTCTTCAGCTTTCATCAAACTACATACCAAACTGTACCAGCTCGAAGATGTCGGAATACAAGTACATCAGAGGTCTCGTGTCAATAAAAGACAGCGACATATAGCGTATTTTGTGGAATCTTTCCATCACAATCCGATGTGGTGTAATGGCTAACATCGCTGTCTCTCACACAGCAGCTCGGGGTTCGATTCCCCGCATCGGAATAACTTTTTGCACATGGTTAAAAGTCGTTATGCGTCTTGCAAGGATCCAATTTTTTTCAGAGACATTTTTGTATGATATTAGTTGCTATTTATTGGTTTTGATAGGTTATTTGATTATACTGGAACAAGTCTCGCTTTCAGAACAAAGCTCGGAAGAAGAACTACCATCCATGAACGCCTAAAACATGCACAGTTGGGTATCATTATAAACAGTATACACAATTCGGAAAATGTTGATATAGGCCGTAGTTAAGGCGTAACCTCAAGAGTAGGTTTGCCAAGTGAACTTGCATGATCATCAGTCAGAAACTGAAGCTTGTCAAGGGGCACATCGAATCTGTCTGCAGCGGATACGCTTGTCGCGGGGGACGTATCAGGAGAACCGTCGGTGATCGTGGACGTCGTAGACATATCGTTTGAAGTTGCGAAATTACATACGGACTCGAGCTTCTCGCCCTCCACTGCGTGTGTTCCCTCCGTCTGGGTAAATTCCGAGCGTTGCCGATCAACGGCTTCGTAAAACAGCATAAAAGCACCGCCCTGAGACATCACGCTTGCCTCACTGACCATTTGTACATCGTCGTCACTCAATCTGAACCACCGTTCAGTTTTGTCCTTCTCGCCATCCGCCTCCAGCACGGTGTCTGGAACGTGGGCCGGGAAAAGATCTGACGAATATTTCCTGTAGCAGATATAATGCCCATTTTCGTGGCGGCCGTAGTGCGTAACCACGGCCCGCAACTCGAAAAAGCGGCCGGAGACATCGGAAGCCGACCCAGCTTCGGGTAGCATAGACTCCGTAGGGTCAGTACCCCATCTTTCAATGTCCATCTGACCCCAACTGGAGCACTTTGTCCCCAGACACCATTCATTCAAGTCAAGGACATTGGGGAATCTGACGGCAGCATGATTCTTCCTGAGCATCCCTGTATTCTCGTCAAACATGCTTCGGTTGATATGTATCACAAGGCATTTCGGCGTCCTCGCGACTACCGCCTGTCTTGATTTGGTCGACGTGACGCGGTTCTTGGACGGAATATGACACTTCTTCGACAAGGTCTTTTCCGCAAAATCATCCTCTTCTAGTGCTTCCTCAACAGCCCGCAATCGCTCTTCCGCTGAGGTCCTGAGTGCGCCTGACACTTTTGAGGAGTCAGGCGTATCTGGCAGCTTCATGTCTTCTTCGATCTGTTTAAGAAGGTTTTCTAGCTGGTCCTTGGCGCGTAAAAGTGTGCACTTTGCACATTCCACACCTTCGATGGGCTCGAGGTGCATGTACTGATCAAGGCATTGTCGTACGTCGTACTCGTGTTGCCCTCCAAGCGGCACCGTAAGGCAGTTGAACGGAATGAGGGAAAGACCTTCGGTCCAGCCGCATTTCATGCATCCTACTCTTTGCGCAAGAAGGCCCTCCAGAGGGTTGCGATTCGGGTGCCGTTCAGTTGCACTAGGGGATGAAACGTCTGCGCCATCTGCAGCCGTATGTGATTCTGCCCCGATAATGTTCTCAACTGGCCCTGCCATTTTCAACCCCAGATTCCTCGTCCGGCGTTTCGTAGCCTGCTGCACCTCGTGATCGACCTGACCCACAACTTTCGAAAAGTATTCCTGCGCATCCTGCTGTTGCCAACTGCTCATCGATTTGAGCTCCGCCGGGATCCACAGCCGCTGATCATGATTATCAGCATTGTTTAACCGCTCGATGATGCCTTTAAGAGCCTGATGGGTCGAAAAGGATCCTTTATCCCCTAATGTCCGGATGTTGCGCTCCAAGAACTCTGCAAGAGAGCGCAGAGATGCTAGACCCTGAATGGTGCTATTCTGGTAACATGAATTGTCCCAGTTTCCGAGCCCCGGGGGCAGATGGTCCTTGGAGCCGAGTAACGCCGTACCGAATCCTGAAAAGGTCGTAGAACAAGGGAGGAAGGAGGAGAGGGAGGAGTTATTGAGTCCAAGGATACGTTGCATTGCTTCGCTCTTCGCTTGAAAGTTCATGGAAAGAAGGTCCTTGTCAGTTGAATCTAGGTTCGATGTCTTCGAATCCAGGGCAACAACTATTCGAGACGGTGTCAAATAGACGATGAGGTTCCACAGAGCTCGTGGTATCGAAATCGGCGCAACTCCGAAGTAATTTAAGACAAAATATGCCAAAAGGCCAGCCGCAACTCCGTAGGTCAGAGTGTTATTATTACTCTGCAACCGCTGCAGAAACGTCTCATGCTGACTATTTTGAGGGTTATGGAAAGGACTCTGAGCGAGGATGTCGAATCCCCCTCTTCGAGCATTCATGGCTAACCAGAAGAAAAGAACGACGACAGCATAGAGGCTTTTGGGGCATCAAATGAGAAGGGAAGGTCAAAGAAGATGTGTTGCATCTGTATGGGACAAGGATCGTCTTACGCCAGCTCGCGTCAGCCTCTGTAAAAGAAGCCGCGGGCTGCGGTTGCGGTCGCTGTCGGTCACCGGAACTTTTCTTCTATCGATAAGCGGCTTCTCCACCCACATCAACAACTTTGTTGTTCTGACTATTTTTTCATTTCTCATTTCGAGTATCATAAACACAGAATGGCCAAAGCAAAACGTAAGTTTTATATGAAGAAACTACGAGGGAGTGTAGGCTTTTATGCTAACGTCACTGTGAATTATAGCCAAGTCGATACATTCTCGCGCTGCTCGACGGGCGGCTTCCCCAAGTCTCGATGTTGACAAGTCGTTGACCTCACTTCCACGAGCCGAAAACACTGTCATACAGCGAGAATCTGTTCTGAATGAACGCGTCAATGCTGGGGTGTCGAAAAAATCAAAGGCCAAAGTCAAGACACGAGCACAGCGCTTGAGACAACAAAAGGGCATGGAAAGAGCTGAAATTGTCTACTCTCAGCTGGAGAAGAAGGTGGCTAAGAGTGTCTCCCGGGCTAAAAATGTCAAAGCACGAAGAGTATGAAGGTTTCTTGTCTATGTCTGCGAGAATGCTAACGCTGACATGTGTCGTTCAGTCTGATTGGGAATCTTTAAATCGCAATGTATCTGGGTCCATGTTCGAAGCTCTTCAAGAGCGGGATGATGATACACATCTCGATGATGCTATGGTCGATGTTGCTGGTGCGCCGGCAACCAAAAAGCGGATATCAAAGCCGGCGGAGATCACGCAGAACCTTCTGGCAGATGAGCATGCCGACATCGACGTTGACGATGACATTACTTGAGATTCTCGATGGAATAAGACAATGAATATCTCAAGTCAGCTATCTTCTTGGTCTGAGCTGATTGATCATTCGTTCAATTTCAGCAACGGCTGGTCCCGAAGCTTTCGCCCGAAGGAGTTCAAGAGTATTGACGTCTTTTGCTCTGTGGGCTTCCTCTCCGGCTTTTACGATCATTCCACATTTCACCCACATCTCGATCCTCTCCTCGACGGGCAGATTGGTGCATTTCGGAATAAATAGCGAAGCTAGCTTGGTGTTGCCAGCACCTAGGACTTCATTATAGAAAGGCTATCACGCTGTATGTGAGTATGTGTTTGTATCAGGATGAGGGTAGTGTTTAATGAAATATCAGGATTTGGCAGTGTTCAATGAGATATCAGGATGTAGGTAGTGTTCAATGAGATGTCAGGATGTGGGGAGTGTTCAATGAGATGTCAGGATATGGGTAGGTAGTGTTTTACTCACCTCCCACCCAATCGGGGATTTCTTCTTGGCCATCTCTTCCAATTCACCCCAGTCTCTCTTAGCGACCAGGGCTCTTAATCGCAACCACCAATAAGTCTTGTCCGGCATTCTGAACTCGCTCTGAATCTTCTGCGCTCGTTTTCCGTAGCCCGATTTGATCAGTCTGTAGATAGTATCATTTAAGCTGAGGCCGACAAACTCTGAGCGATCTGCAATGTCTTTGTCCAATGCCTCTTGGACCTTGAGTAATTGTGACGCTTCAGAGAGCAGTTTCTGCTGTAGAACCGCAGTTGCATCCTTAGAATCTGATAAGAGCTTCGATGCGAGAAGGAGTTTCTCAGTTTTATGCGGTAAGTCTGTCGCATTCAGTGCCTCCGACAGGAGGACATTTGAACCATCGATAGGGCGGTCATCCTGGTAGAATAGGTCTTTCAGTAACTCTGTATCTTGCCCTCGAGCATTCGCTTCGACCAATGCCGAGGCAACGGGCCGGGTGTTGATCATCCTAAAGAAGCTGGCGAGAGGGAGTTTGCTCTTCAAGTGCAAGAGTACATAGATGACAAGATCATCATCTCCACTCTCGATCGCCTTGTCCAGGGCGACTTCGTCTTCTTCCATCTTCAGCAGCAGCGGAACTTGCTTACCACCCCGGGGTTCGTGATTCAGAAGCTGTGTGGCCAGGTGAGCGCGTCCTTCGTCGTATGCAGCTTGAGCAATCTGCTCGAAGGATATCCCGGGCTTGCCTTCCAATTTCTGCACAATGAGTTTGCAAACGGCTTCGTCGTCGACAGTGGACACCTTGACCTTCTGGCTGGCCCAGTGAACATAGATCTTGTCCGCTGGAATCTGAAGATATTCAGATATTCTGATGGAAAGCAGATATTCATGGCGGTTAACCAGACGCTCGATGAGCTTCTCGGGTGTGAGTCGCAGATATTGCTCATAAGAAATAGGCAGCCCTATTTGGTAGTCCCTCACTGCTTTCAGCACTCGAAGTTTCTCCGTCATTTCGACGAACTCATCGCTGTTGTACAGATCCAAGACGGACTTCCCATACGAAGCAGCTTTCAGCAGCCTCTTTTGCCAGTAGACATCAAATTCATGACCCGCAGCCTTGACACAGGTATCTACCGCTTCTGGTAAACTGGAGCGGATGCGTTGTATGTTTTCATCAGCCTTGGGCGACTTTTTCTCCAAGAGATCTACCGAATCCAGAAGGACCGAAGCTGGGCTAGTGGAACCAAGCCTGAAAATGGTTTCAGTGACATCTGTTCCGAGCCTAGTTGTTAGCCGTCGCTATGTCGCAAATTGTGCTCCCCTTACCTGTAACTTTGTGTAAGAACTCGCAATTATCGTTCGTAATCAATCGGACCCCATCACATTCGGGTATCACATGCACAGTGCCATCGTAGTAATACCTTCACATCGTAAGTTTGTGCAGACAATGAGATCAAAGATGACTTACTTAGCAGCAGCGCCATTGGGACCAATAAGATGTATCTCGTCCTCCCATGCAATGACAACAGCGTCATCTCCACACCAGTCGACGGTACGAGGAGTCACACGAGATTGCGGGTCATATTCAGTGTGCTTACTTTGAAAATCACTGCTCACTACCCAGACCTGACCCTCGGCGGTGTAAAGGGCCACGAATCGACCGGTAGGCGACACGCTTGCATGTTTGAAAGGTCCATTTTGAAGCACTTTGTCCTCTGCTTCCGAGGAATCAATCAAAAATATAGTCTTGTCGACTGCCAGTAGCACCTCCACTGAACGAGAAAGCGTATATGGTGGCGGAATCAACGACCAAGAAGAGACTTCACCTTCTGGACACGGCGCTAGCAGCTTGGGACGCGGCTCATCATAGTTTGAAACAGCAATCAGTTGGTTATTCGAGAGCAGAGCGACAAAGCCGTTATTCCAGAACTTGCATGCTCTTACGCCGTATTCTTCAGTTCCCTGCCAGGAAAGGTTAGCATTCATGGTCTTGCTACATATTTATACCCACTCACGTTTCCTAGAGAAAAAGACGTGAAGTCACCATACAAGCCGAAATATCTGCGGACTGTTCCATCTTCTGTGATTACTAGCAACTCTTCTTTTTCGGACCAGCCGAGCCCTCGAATCGTCCCATGTTCCCACTAAAGGATTAGCATGAGCACATCGACATCGCAAGCTTTAGCTTTGCCTGGTTGCATGACAGGAAGCTTACATTGATGCGATTTATGTGCTTTCCAGAGCACGAATAGATGTCAATGCTCGATCTAGCTGTATGAGCATCGCGAAACATGTACGGCTTGCTTTCGTCCCGATGAAGGGCTATTGATCTCATCAGTCATTGAGAAAGATTGAAATAACACTTGTAACGTACCAATAGCTCCTCCATATGGCGCGCCGGCGACAATGTAGTTGTCCAAGTCCACATCCTCGTCAAAGATAGCGTCATACACGGAGACTTTCCTGTAAAAGCTGTCCCCAAGTCGCTCCCAATTCGCAAGAGGATTTGACGGCGCCATTAATTGTGTTTACTTGTATTCATTGATGAAAGATACACAGTGCAGAACAGGTATCAGTCCAATGTAGTAATGGGCTTGGACTGACTGACCGCGGTCTGTTGCCTTCCTATCCGAAGGTCGACATGGGGTCCTACTCCCGCGCTAATCCCGATATGGTCACCATACCTTAGGCATCATTACGTGCCATTACAGCTTGCTATCTTTCATCAAACAGTGATCCATTTCGCTTCGAGTAGCGTTTAACACCATGGCTCGGGGAGCTAATCATCATGGATAATAAAGAAGACGTAAGCGGTCTCGTCTCAGAACTTTCAGATCTTGAAGTTGCGCTTCTACTATCTCTTGCTGTTCATGAACATTGTCTCATTGAGACAACAAACGACTGCATCCATGACGTTGCGAAAGAACTGGCCCTGGTAATTTTGTACACTGATGTTTGCTCTTTGCTCAACACGCCACTAATGCCTTCATAGATATGCTCGAGTGTCTTCGGTCGCACTTGTAAAATTCTCGAATGCTCGTCGGCTACGTCTTTGGAGGATTTTTACTCTGAAGTCCTGGTGCCGGATGTATCCAAGGCGAATGCGCCCTACTCGCGCCCACGTAAGGGGGCTGAATCTGTACGGTGATAGCCACAGCTTTGACAACGCGACTAGGACTAACCATTCCAGTTGTCAACCCATCACAATACCACGGAGCCAAGAGATCGTACGAGGTCTCCTGGTTTCCGTAATGTATTCGGGGACAAGAAAGTCGCGGACGTCGTTATTGCCAAGAACTTCAATCACGTTGACGGGGTTATACAACTTCATGCTTTGGAGGTAGGATTCCTTAATCATCACGACGATATCTTGCTGAACCATCGACAGTTGATGCGCTCCAAACGACTGAGCTCGAGTCATGGCCCAATTGAAGCTCCGCCTGACTTTCTCTTCGTACCTCTTGTAGTGCGTAGCGCGGACCAGCTGAACCCTCGCTTGAATCAGCACCTGGTGCGTGCCTTCGTTTGTGCAGCAGATATCTGCTTACTGACGTCCAGCTAGAATGACCATCTCATTCTCTCTCACTTTCATGATCCTACGGACGGCTATGTTCACCTAGAAGAAAATACAGACTGGCTCTCAGATGGACAGTTGTCAGCCTCATCTATGGTCCGTAAATCGGACGCTCAACTAAAGAATCAGAGTCTAGCAGTTGACCAAAAAGTATGCTTTTCTTTAAGATTTGGATTGGCCTGCTGCTAATGAATTGGGTTAAAGTTGCTGGAACAAATACAACAGCTAAGCACCTCGGTCTCAGTGGGCGCAGACATAATACGGTATCAGCAAGATATTGTTGTATTCTTGCGACTAAGCCGCGCTGTTGCCGGGGGCATCACAGCACGATCAAACATGCAATTTACAAAACTCTCCAAGTATGTCCAGTTAATCTGTCTCCCCAAAGAATGCACCTCATCATTCCTGGCAGACTACTCGCAACATTACACGGGATTGACTATTTGACTCCCTCGATTGTGGTCTTGGCGGCAAGGAAAGCCTTCCGCCATCGGATTGTCTTAGCAGAACCTGAAGATGATAGAAGTTTGCAATACGGGAGCGACATACAGGCTGTGACTAAAGTCCTTGCTCAGGCCAGTCCGGATTCCATACTGGATGGTGTTCTTGCACTGGAGCCTCCGTTATGAATCGACAAACAACCGAGATACAGCTCACTAGGACTGTGTCGTAGGGGCCTTCGCCAGACTTTCGGCCATGGCAATGCCTGCAGTTCGTCCTGAGAAAATACAACCCCCCAGAAATGTGCCTTCAAGGGAATTGTAGCCATGCACACCTCCACCTCCAAAACCTGCAACTTCACCGGCGGCGTACAGGTTCGTGAACCGAGTCCCGTCCTGACGGAGAACATTCGCGCTCAGGTCTGTCTCTAGTCCGCCGAGGGTCTTTCTGGTGAGGAGGTTCATTCTGACGGCAATCAAGGGTCCGTGGCTCTGGTCTAGGAGCTTGTGAGGTTTGACGACTCTGCTGAATTTATCTGGCCAGAAGTTGCGCGCGTTCTGTATTAGCATCATTTGCGCGTCTTTGGTGTAACTGTTATCTACCTGTGAGTCACGGAGCTGAATTTCCCGTTTAACTTGGTCAATATCCAGAGGAGGACCTCCATGTTTTTGTCCGAGGTTGTCCATCCTATCAAGTAGATCGTTCAGAGACGTCTCCACGATGAAGTCTTCTCCATTCTTGATGAAGGCCTGTACAGGGCCCGTGCCGTTGGAACTGAAGATCCGCTGAAGTAGAAGGAGGATGCTTTTGCCGGTGATATCTGGATTCTGTTCTGACCCGGAAAGGGCGAATTCGCGGGCGATGATGCTTTTATTCAGGACAAACCAGGTGTAATCATACCCCGTCGAGCATATATGCCGTAGAGTAGCAAGCGTATCGCAGCCTGGATACAGAAACGGAGGCAGCCGCTTTCCCGTAGCATCGAGCCAGAGAGACGATGGTCCAGGAATGACTCGAATCCCATGCTTTGGCCAGATCGGGTTCCAGTTAGTTAATCCCTCAGTGTAATGCCACATCCGGTCGCTGTTCACCACATTGGCACCAGCTTTCTGGGAGATATCGATCATGCGCCCATCAACATGCGCAGGAACCCCCAGCACGAAAGACTGCGGCACCTTAGGACCCAGCCGATCAACCGGCCAGTATTTCTTCACCAAATCCAGGTTCCCGCCAATTCCACCTGAGGAGACAAGAACGGCAGCGCCCCGAAGCTCAAAGCTACCAACGCTCTTCCGCGAAGAAGCAACCCCTCGCGCCACATCTGTCGGCTCCAGCACCTGCCCCCGAACACCCACCGCAGCACCTGTCTCATCATCAACGATAATTTCATCAACCTGATGTCGGAATCGAAACTCAACCAGCCCCTTCTTCGCCGCTTCTTTCACCGGACCAGCGAACGCCTCGACGATCGCCGGCCCTGTTCCCCATGTGAGATGAAATCGCGGAACAGAGTTGCCATGGCCGCCAGCCTGCCCACTCCCGCGTTCAGCCCAGCCCACGCTGACGAACCGCACGCCCAATGCACCAAGATACGACTCCATCTGATCCGTCGCAAAGTTCACGAATGCTTCCGCCCATTTTCTCGGCCAATGATCCGTTTCGCGGTCGAATGCTGCGCTGCTGAACCAATCCTCCATCGCTAGCTCTCGACTGTCGCGGATGCCGAGTCGGCGCTGGTTACTTGAGTTCACGCAGAAGATTCCTCCGAGGGACCAGAATGCTTGCCCGCCGAGGTTGGCTTCGTTTTCCTGGTCGATGATGATGGACCGGATATTGCGGTTGGAGAGCTCGTAGGCCGCTACCAGGCCTGCTAGGCCGGCGCCTACTATGACAACCGGCTGGTCGTTTGTTGCCATTGTGTTTGGAGTGTATATCTTGGAGTTTATGATGTCGTTTAAAGCATGCGTCTGGTCATTCATGCATATATAATTGCGTGCTGACGTTGCGACTTGCTAGGGTCTTGCGCCTACCGAGGTACTTCCGCGAATCAATGTTTGATCAGCCTGTGAAGAACGACGGGCGGAGCTCATCCTTAGGAATCATGCAGTTGTACTTGTACATCCGGTCTGACCGCAGCTGCTCTCGTTGGTGGAAATTGGTCGTACTCTCCCCTGCGCTACTTCTTCCAGCTGCGCGTAAAGTGGGTGTGTCATGCGATCCACTCGTTCAAGTAACCATGGCCCATCGGTGGGACGTTTTAATATATATTCCAATCACACGATCCAGAATGAGTGCGGACGACCGAAGTATCCGATCATGGATGTTGTGGATCTCGGAACCAGCCGAGACGGTACCACATCAAATGCTGACCCTGCAAGACAACATGCTGTCTCCAGAGAGAAGCCTAGCTGCTACATGACGGGTACAGATATTACCGAATTACAACTGGATCTACTCAGAGAGGAGGATTCATCATGTGAGGAATCTCGGCGCGTTGCACATCATAGAATTCACTTCTATGAACATACAAGTGCATACAGCAAAATATGGACAACCAGGGTATTGCAGGGTATGTGGAAGGCCCGGAGGGTAGCCTTATCACTACCTCGATACTCTTGGAGCAGCCCTCAAGAACATATCAGGAGGCGCAAAGCTAGCTTTCCTTTCCTCGGTAACGCCATTCTGACCCACGGACGGATGATTTGCCGCCTGAACGGAAGCCATGAGCTTCCGCCACTCTGAAAGCACTGCACCGACTTCGATCTTGGCGTCTCCGACTATGGCATCCATTTTAATGTCGTTGCGGTCATATCCAAACGGATCTTCGAGTTGACAGCCAATACCCTCAATGCCGTACAACGTGAAGATCACAAGACTGACTATCGGGACGGCCCACCATCTCATGTCATCGACCATGGCGAATGGGAGCACACATCCAAACAGCGCGAGAACTTGCTTTTGATGGATTCTACTCGTGCGATCAGCATATGCAAGCGATTTCAACAGGGTGAAGAGGGTACTCACAAATGAGCGACAGGTATGGGAGTCAATTTGATGGTTTCCATCCTCCCATACGCATCTGTCAACGTGTTCAGCTGGGCTTGCATCTGACTCGCCCCGGGAGCGTTGAACCACCCCCGTTCCACGCCCCGTTTGATAAACCCATCCACAAAGAAGGTCAACTGGAAAGGCAGACCCAGCCCGTCATGCTCATGACCCTCCAGATCCACGGGTAGGAGACTCGCGTAGTCAGGGTCATACACCGCGGTACCATTCTCATTAACATCGCTACCCAAAGCCCATGCCGCGCCCCATTCAGCCCGGAGGTGGTTCTTGACAGCATAGGGAATCGCCATGAGCACACGAATTGTCCGCTCGATGTCCTGCTGTTCAGCGACGGTGGGAGGGCCACGCTCACTGTAGCTGTTTGTGATAATCGTACGGACAAGATTGCGTACACAGGTTGTGATTGTGTTCATGCCGTTGCGACCGTCCCAGAATCTATTGTAGGATGTCTGATTGCGGAACACGAGCATCAAACCCACGACGATAGACAGAGACGGAATCTAGAGCTGTCATCAGCAAAACACTCACATAACGCGATTTGGGAGATTAGAATAACGCACAATACTATTGGGCAGACCGACTGTATCGAATACATACTCGTCAAGGTAGACCACGAACGCCGTAAACAGCGCATGCAGGCACACTGGCACCAGAATTGCACCGTGGATAGCACCCTTGATGAACCGGAAAACCAACGGCCATCTAAACAAATTAACATCAGCCACTCACAAATAGAAAGAATGCAATAAAAGAATACGTACCTCCTCGGCTTCCTCCGACTCGACAGTAAATGCGGATGCGTCCCCGTCCGATGATGATGGACGCCCTCGCGTCGAAAGCTGAAGGTAGTGCCGTTCTGGCGCTCCAGCGTCGGAGAGGGAGGGTCACTGGTACTGATTCTCATCTTTGTATTAACCTCTCCACGGAAAACAAAAATCGTTGACCACTGCAAGGATTGTTTATGAAAACAAACAAGTAAACATGAGGATAACTAGCGGGCAGGAGGGGCGGCCGTTTCAAACAATCTAGCGGTCAACGAAGTTTGAACAGACTCAGAACTACGGATACACGAGTGTAAATCTGGCAAGCCTAGAGTTTACTAGTCTGCTATTGCGGCTCAATTGAATTATAATTTGTGAGTTTGACGAGAAGGATCCTTATATAGATGGTTGGGCATTTCACCTCGTCATGGCGAAGGTGTGTTTAGAGTGGTGATCGTCAGTGCATTCGAGATGGAGGAGGGGCAGCCATTAATCAAGCACAGATATGGGCGATCTGAACCTACAAGCCAACTGTTCAGGGCGGGGTATACATTACAGCAACGGCGTTGGTTCATCTGGGCCACAAATGACGTCCAACAGGGAGCATACTGTTGTCGATAAAAGAGGAAAGGCTACTGGTTGCACAGTTAATGACTGAGAGCCTGTCTGCCGTGCGGCCCATGCAAACTACCTACTAATCCTACCCGAACCTGCATATGTCCATGTTCGACGCTAAGCGAGAGCAGTTGAATGAGTAAAGCCAAGTAATCCAACCTGCAATTAAAAGCACCAAACTTGGACACGATCGTCAAATATAGTTCTGAAAGCGAGAAAAGGATGCCAACGCCTAAGCCAGGGATGGAGGGGATACATGGATTGAGGAGCTTGTCACAATGCGAAACGCTGGATGTTATGATAAAAAAATGCAATGCGCTGGATAGACCCAATCATCTCGACCGAAGACCGACACCAGGATGATGTGGGCAAGTACAAAAATGAAAAAGCAGACGGGGTGCAACAATGGGGTATATGTAGGCGGCTGATGACGTGTCTCGAAAAGGTGAATAAGAGCAGGGCAATGGCGAGACAGCAGCATAGGGAATAACCGGCGACACAAAAACTCCTGCAGAGAAAGAGATTGAACTGATTAGAATAATAGTCCCTCATATGTAGAGGTGCAAGTTCGGAAGATGTCCAAGCTGATCTGTTCAACGTGGACATTCCTCGGCAATCATGGCATGCCAGCTCTGCCATCAAAGGCCAGGGGCCCTGAATCGTTTCTAGGCGTCAGCGGGTTATCATCGGACGACTCGGAGCGGAAAGGTGTGTCAGAGCGCGTCTGTCTGATCGCGACGGGGTGGGATGGAGGAACGGAGGCAGCGGAACCTGTTGTGGGGGCAGAAGTAATGTTGCTCACAGCCGGTTCAGGAGAGGCAGATGCTACGTTCGGAGTTCGCTCTGCCTCTGCTTCGGACGGAGAAGGAGAATCGTCCTGAAGCCGCATGTTCTCGATGTTATCGGCTAGTCCCTCCTCAGCAGGAACGTCACTTGTTTGACGATTGCTTTCCGTGCGCTCTTGGGTAGGAGCTGCTGCCGGATCGGATTCCGCTGAGGATTCTTGGCTTCCAGATGAAGCCTCTGCTGCTGACGTCTGCGCAGGCTCCTGAGTATCATCCTTCTCCTTGCTGGTATCCACATCGTTCGCGTCGTTCGAATCGTCCACCTCGGCGCTCAAGTCTGTGTATGCACGACAATTGGGACATTGGAACATCGGGTACTCAGGAGTATGTATAAGACGGCTGATGCACTTGTAATGCCATACATGGGCACAAGCCGCCATGAACAAGCACTGATAAGGTCGCTGCAAGTCAAGTCAGTGGTCAGTCGTTTCACGGATATCATTTTCCAATCAATAATACTAACCAAGACCGAGCCGAGGCAGATTGAGCACTCGCGACAACCTGAATAATCTGCGGTTTCCCCTTTGCCAAGGTTCTTGATAAGGCTTGCAGTGTTTTTGCTAAAGAATATGTCAGCTTCACCATCCCTGAACATATTTCTGCCGATCAAGGGGGTCTCCCGCACTTGAACTCATTGGGTTGTTGCTGCCAGGAACGGTTGCACTCTATGCGAATCCGCACGCATCGAAAGATCATCTCCTCGCCGCCTCTAAAATCGATACCGAGTTGTACGATGTCGCCATCCTTGATAGTGTAGAGCCTCGACACCATGTTTGGCTGGCTCAACCTCATGTGATTCAAGAAGGTCCCAGAAGAGCTCCCCACATCCTTGATATGCCACTGCCCATTTATATAGAGGAACTCGCAATGCTTCCGACTCACAACTTTTGACTTGAATCCGACAGGGGCATCCGAAGGTTCGGTAGGATTAGCCACGGGCATACCATCGCGCTCGGAGTATCGGCCGACACGAATTACACTACTTTCCGATGGGAGAGTTCGCGAAATAGGAATGAAGTGCAAGGAAGGCCTGGAGCTTTGGCTGGAATCTTGATGGGGAAAGAAGCGGATGGTGGCCTTTCCCTTCGGACCAGGAGACGAGGAATTTTGACTCGCAGTCGAATTTGCAGATTCGGAAGTGTTTGTGGTGGGATTTGCAGAGGCCGATGAGCTCGATGCTCGCGGGTCGTCTCGTGCATTCGAGGCCCCTGACGAAGCTCCTGAACGCGCCATCGCCTCGACTGAATTTTCACCGCCGGAGTCGTTCGACGGGGTCGACTGTGACGAGTCTGTTGTGAGGTCACGGGTTTCCAAATCTACGTCAACGGCGCGGTAGCTAGGAAAGAAGACGGAACTATAACGAGCGAGAGCAGATTGATCGCTTGTTGGGCATGGAGCGGGATGGGAGGTCCCCGCTGAAGGGAGAGACGAAGACTCCGGACTAGTCGACGAGGCAGAAGGGGAAAACCAAGAGACACGACTGCTGAAGGTATGTCGACGAGAAGAGCGTTGGGAATTTGCAGAAGAGGAAGAGGTATGAGGCGAAAAATGATTCTGAGTGTAGGCTCGTAGTTGGCTTAGTCGTCGGCGGGGCCCAGAGCGAGAATCGGCTGGGAAGTTGGCGGTGGAGGTGGAGGCGGAGACGGTTGAAGCAGACATGTAGGGCAGGGCAGCAGGCAGATGGAATAAAACACAGTAGTGCCGGACCAAACAAATCCTGCTTAGAGAAGCTCTCTCACCCAGTTGATAAAATGGTAGAAAATATTCTCTTGGATGTCAGGAAAAAATACGATGATAGTATGGTATCGCGTCAAGGGTGACAATGTGCGAAGGCATATATAATGGTTCAGTCGGGAAGAGAAGATAGCGGTTATACTAGGCGCATTGCAACTCGGGAACTGTTCGCACAAAAGTGAGCTGGAGCGACGATGAGATCGGGTAAGATATTAGGGGATTGAGAGAAATCATCGAAGGGAGGGATGAGAGAAAGAAAAGAGAATTTGGAGCTTTTGCGCCGAAGAAGACGGTGGCCAACCATGCGAGCCGTTCAAGGACCGTCCGATGGTAAGATCTCCAGTGGGGCGAGAATGTAAGTAGACTAAGGAGCAGGAGTGGTAAGTTGGCGGACTACAGCACCTATATGGGTAGGTAAGGTAGTCTAGGTGGTTAGACTACTTGACGGCCAAAAGAACAGACTAATAATGCATGAACAGAATGGCAATTACTACAGACTACTAACTTGGTGTGACCTTGTCAACTCATCGGGGAGAATCCGCTCCAGAATTGATTTTATTTCGTCTCCTGCTCTTACGAACCCTTTTTAAGACTTAAAAGACTCGTAGGGATAAGGTACTAGCTCGGAGAGGCGATACTTTATTCGAATGAGGCCGCTGGTCAACATTCTTCCCCATAGAATCCTCCAATGACGCGGCCATTACAGGCAAACAATGGACAATTGCCCTTACTGCAATTAGTATCTTGAATAATGTCCAATGTACTCCGTAGATAGGCAATTGCTGTCGCGCGATTTTTGCTCCTCCTCCCCTCCCCTGGTCATGCCATGCGCAAAGATCCCTCTGGGGTTTTAGTGCGGTGTCCGGGACTCTAGCCTGCGGGGCAACCCAAAACATACTGCAGAGGGCAGACCTCCAGGATTTGCCTCGCAGGTGGTTGGCGGTTGCTTTTATTATTATTGGCTGTGGTTTCTTTGATGGACGCATACCCGGCATGTCTCATGTGATGCAGAACGTCTCTATGGAGTAGACGAGACTTTCTCACGTGGTCGATGTGACAAATCATTAACCTTGCATTTGATATCCTGAGTCAAGGTACAAGGCACCTGGTGCACGCTGCAACCTGCGCATAGATTCAATTTCCTGGCGCTCATATCGCTGGGAGGATCCCTCGGTGTAGGTTTGTGTCTATTCCTGGATTGGTTTCCGGCGGCACTACAAGAATCTCCGTTTCAGCTGCAGAATCGTCAAGTCGTCAAGTCATCCAGGTACCTAGTTAGCGAGGAGTACATTCTAGGACCAGGATGAACAAGTAATTCCCGTCATGGAAACTTTCCTCCGGTACACTCGGTATCACTGTCAAGGTATTCACGGAAAGGCTTGTGCAAACGGCAGAAGGGGCACATTGGCTGGGTCGGAACAACGGCACAATTCATGATGCTGCAAGAGCAGATATTATCAACCATTGTCTCCGACGCCTTCCCAATAATGGTATCCCATGGTATGCTCTTTTTATCGCATATAGATGGATGAACAATGGCCACCACTTTGAGGTATCTATCTCGACTCACTGATCGGGCGCGATGCGGACAAGAGAGCCTGGATGACGTCATCTGCTGTTGTGAGTACCTCAGCTGCAGTATTGATGACCACAGTACCTCTAAGCATCTCAAGGTACTATGGTTTGCATCCAAGCTGCAGATGTCATGCCAGATCCAAAATTATCATATTTCCCCAAATGTGAATCTTATAAACAGTCCTTACTCTGTGCTTACATACATTGATACAACTAGAGCCAGCATATATCTGGGTCATTGCGAGCAAATATTTCTCGATGCGGTTCAAATACGCTATGTCACTGGAAGCCGTTTCAGTTGGACTTCCATAAATCTTGCTCCAGCTGGCAAGGTTGCACTGCTGTCTTTGCCATTGTAGTAGAGTTGCCATGCTTGGTGTGCTTCACTATTGGGCAACTGCACAGCCAGCCACTGGTTGTCTCGTAGTGTCACGTATTCCTGTTCATCTTGTGCAGCATCCCAAGGCCCGCATATCTGACCCTCGCTATCTTCCCGGCTGCCGTACCGCATCTCAGAGGTCGCTGCATCGCAATATACCCATCGCAGACTGGGTGGGCATTCAGCACCGACGCAGACGAATCCTGATGTATTCCCTCGCCCAAACGCAGGGTGTGGGTAGAACCCACCCTTGAATAGAACCATCTCTGGGCTTGGATGTTTTGTAATATACAACTGCGCGTTGTCAGGTAAATCCTACCACGCAATTCTAGTTGAAACGACATACTTTCCTATTTGGATCCACATAAACTTTGGCACCCTCAAGCTGGAGTCGTTCCGTTATTGAGCCATCCGGGAACTTCGTTACGACTTGCAGATTGGCCGGCTGTGTCCGATCATCTGCCTGCCTGCGTTTCTCATCCTCGCGTTTCAGGTCGTGGTCATCTCTTCGATTGTGCTTGTCATCCTCCGTAAGCCCCACTATGCCTGGTATCATGGTTGGGATCATGGTTGACATCATGATAATGTTGACGATTCCGAGAACCATGTTGATGGGATGGAGAACTTCCCTTAATGCCTGCGTCAGAGTTAAATCCAGGCATGAGTCAAGTCGTTCAACCTGCGAGATATTTAATAGCGTTGGGGTTCGTTGACACTGACATGGTGGGATTTCCGTTTGCGGGCAACTACACCCCAATCACGACCATTGCCTCTTCATGACAACCAGTCGGAATCACACACTGCACTAATGATGACATATTTGAACAGGCTTTCCAACCTTTTAAGGTCGAAGCTCTGAAGCTAACTGACTCCATGATCTCAGTAGTGGCTTATGGTGTGGGAGGAATCACTCTTTCCAGAGCCGAAGCTCCGATAAAAGAGCTGCACTTCGCAGATAAAATTCCATCGAGTTGTCTTCGCGCAGTATCCGTTTTTTTGGCCTTGGAGCAATACTTGAATCTTGACGAACCACAAAGCTGCGTCCACTCGGTCACAAGAAGTGCTTCTGACTCGACATGGGTGAAGGGTAAGTAATATGTTACCTATTCATTCCCTAACGCAATGTTTTCACCTGCCAAATGTACTATGCTGATTCAGGGTCATATTGAAATGCTCAGCGACAAGGTCAAGGACCAACAACTCTCGGAGAATGATGGCTTCACAGACTTCGCCAAAAACGATCCAAGCTCAAAAAACAAGAAGAACCAAGATTCCAACCTGAAGATTACCATTCATCTGGATCTGGTCGCCGAAGTCGATATCAAGATCAAGGCACAGCTATATGGTGATATTGTGATTGGCTTGCTTTGAGTTGCTGGGATGCCCACCCATAGCTAGTTTAAGTGTGGGTTAAATCCGAACATCTCGACTTGATCGTAATAGTGTGCCCCTTATCATATCAGAGTGCAAGATATTCGAAAGATTGGCTAGCCAGCTGAAACGCTCCTCTGGGTGGTTGAATGGAGTGATAGTAGTCCAGCGCAGTGCACATCAACCCATGTGATTTCAAGCCTTTAGTCTTAGGGTCGGGTTTGCGCGAGGCTCAGCGTTTGTGTAGAATGGACAGTATTTTTTGGCGATTTTTGATGCATTGATATGTTGAATTCTGGCCGTTTCTCAAAATGGTATCCCCCACCATCCACTGACTCGGAAACACCCTGGTCATGTTGATCATCCGTCACTTGTCTGGTGATCAACCGCGTCATTTGTTAGTCGCCATTTTGCGTTCTCAAGATATTTAGAAATCGATGGAAGAAACGAGTTAGGACTAGTCATCCGACGTTAATGGGCTTCATTTCACCAATGTAGTTGGACGTAGAGGAAAGGTGGAGCGGAAACAATGTTCCAATCAACTAACAGGAGGACGGTCAGGTTGTACGCTTGGCAACAGAAGAGAACGATTGCTCATCATTGTGCCCCAAAGGACAGTCGGCACGGCAAAACATAGATGGGGACCAGGCCTGTTGGCAGGATCATGCCTTCTTTAGTTCCCGGGATCGACCAAATGCTTACTTGCCGTTGGTAGTGTGATAACAGTCTACTGAGCTCTATTCTGCTACGGAATTACCTCATTGAAAAGACAGTGAAGATGTGTCTGGGTTCCGCAAAAAGTAGCTCTCGAAGTGAGCTTGCGAAGTTGTCACTGGTGGCCTTGTCGGGGGGCAGTAGAAGAGATTCGTGTGGTTCATGGCGGATAAAAAAGCATGGCTGGGGCGGATGCGAGATAGGAGATAAACAAAGGCGAGAAGAAGTTAACGATGACGAATTACCTCTCTGCCTTTTCGGTTGGCCGAGATTGAATTCTAGCAAGAAGCTTTTTAGGTAGCGAAGATTAATTGTAGTCGCATAAACGGTGCTCAACATATCTATCTATTCAGTTGATAGTCTACCTGCTACTTACTCCGTACATCAGTGAAACCTAGTCGAAGCATGGTTAGACTCACTTGGAGCTTCCTTCTCCAGTGACAGCCGCCGCTGACGAGACTAAGGTAACCCAGCTAAACTAGACGGAGCAGCAGACCTGCTAAACCTAAACCAACCTGCCGTCTGCCATCTCCTACCCTTCTCCCCCTCCCTCTCGTCTTATAATTCAGCATTCCAAAGGCCGGACACAGACCTTGGAAGAATCAAGAGAATAACTACCTCATTGACTAGAGACCAAGAGGGTTTATCTCACATTGTCTTCCCGTCCTATCACGCGACGACGTGCCCTACCCTCCCGCTCCTACCTCAGCAGCTAGCTCCAGGTGCTATATGCAGAGCCTCCCGTCCTTTCTGCCATCGCCAATCGACTTCCATTCGCATCCTGCATCTCCTTGCTGGGCCAGTCACATCCTCGGATCGCTTACATCACCGCGAAACTCTCCATCTGAAGGAGCGGAGATAGAGAGAACAACAAGGGGGAAACTAAAGCTACCTTCCTTCTTATCTTGATCGGCTGCCGTTCCTCACGCCTACCTTCGCTTTGAAACTGTCGCTTGCGGGGCCTTCTGGCCTCCCATCACCGAAGGTATGACTGCGATCGCAAACGCGTGTCTGTCCTGTCTATCGGCAGTCGACCGCTGTTGTCATATCACGGCCTGTCTCGGTCCTATCGGAGGTCGCTCGCGAGATGGAATTTATGAGACAACGCTAGCAGACAATGAGCGGGAGGCCGTATCCGACCTGCTCGGTTACTTGGAGAATGTACGTCTAGCTTTGTTGTCTATACACCTGCGCTTCGTATCTATCATGTCTATCAACGTACTCGGGCCTCTGTTTTGCTGTTGAAGCTGACTTTACTTGCGTTCTAGCGAGCCGAAACCGACTTCTTCTCCGGCGAGCCTCTTCGCGCCCTGAGCACCTTAGTTTATTCTGATAATGTGGACCTTCAACGAAGTGCTAGCCTGACTTTCGCCGAGATAACTGAGCGAGGTACGTCATATCATTGCTGTGATACCAGAAGTTGGGACTGACGTTATTGTGATTGTCGCAGATGTGCGCGAAGTCGACCGAGACACGCTCGAACCTATCCTCTTCCTGCTACAGAGCTCGGACATTGAAGTTCAAAGGGCTGCTAGCGCAGCTCTCGGAAATCTTGCCGTCAACGGTTTGTCGCTCAATCCCATACGTCGTCGAGTATTGCTGATGGATTGTAGCCGAGAACAAGGTGCTCATTGTTGCCCTGGGAGGGCTGGCTCCTCTCATACGTCAGATGATGTCGCCCAACGTCGAGGTCCAATGCAATGCGGTCGGTTGTATCACCAATCTAGCGACTCATGAGGACAACAAGGCCAAGATTGCTCGGTCGGGAGCTCTAGGTCCATTGATCCGTCTAGCGAAGTCCAAGGACATGCGTGTACAACGTAATGCCACTGGAGCGCTTTTGAATATGACGCATTCTGGTAAGTTGGGTCGTGTGATAGAACGGTTCTGAGCTTGGCTGACTACTCGTGTAGATGACAACCGACAGCAACTCGTCAATGCCGGTGCAATCCCTGTGCTTGTTCAATTGCTCTCCTCTCCTGACGTCGATGTACAATACTACTGCACAACTGCACTCAGCAATATCGCTGTCGATGCTTCGAATCGCAAGCGGCTCGCCCAGACGGAGTCACGGTTGGTTCAGTCTCTTGTTCACCTCATGGACTCTTCCACTCCCAAAGTTCAGTGTCAAGCCGCCCTTGCACTTCGAAACCTCGCTTCCGACGAGAAATACCAGCTGGAGATTGTTCGTGCAAAGGGCCTTCCGCCACTCCTGCGCCTGTTGCAGTCCTCGTACCTTCCCCTCATTCTCTCTGCTGTTGCATGCATCCGCAATATCTCCATTCATCCTCTCAACGAATCGCCTATCATCGACGCAGGCTTCCTTAAGCCGTTAGTAGACCTTCTGGGTTCGACAGACAACGAAGAGATACAATGCCACGCCATCTCTACACTTCGCAACCTTGCCGCAAGCTCTGATCGCAACAAGGAGCTTGTTTTGCAGGCCGGTGCCGTACAGAAATGCAAAGATCTGGTCCTTCGGGTTCCTCTGAGTGTGCAATCTGAAATGACCGCTGCAATCGCTGTGCTGGCTCTCAGCGATGAATTAAAACCTCATCTGCTCAACCTAGGTGTCTTCGATGTGCTGATCCCCCTTACGAACTCCGAAAGTATCGAGGTCCAGGGCAACAGTGCTGCTGCCTTGGGCAACCTCTCCTCAAAAGGTACGTCACCAGCCATCGCTCTACTACTCTCTCAATTGCGCAAGTACTAATGAGCACTAGTTGGCGATTACTCGATCTTCGTTCGTGACTGGGCTGACCCTAACGGCGGCATTCACGGTTATCTCAAAAGGTTCCTTGCAAGCGGCGATCCTACCTTCCAGCACATTGCCATCTGGACTCTCCTTCAATTGCTGGAATCGGAGGACAAGCGGCTCATCGGCTACATATCCAAATCCGAAGATATTGTACAGATGGTCAAAACGATCTCGGACAAGAACATCGAATCAGACGACGAGGATGGGGAGGATGGTGAGGCCGAGGTCATTGCGCTGGCGCGGCGATGTCTCGGTTTACTCGGAAACGGCCCAAAACAGACTCTTGTCGAAGGCTAATACGCTGCTATCCCATAATTGTCACCATCTATAACCGCTTCCTTCCTTCTCGTTCATATCTTGACGTTTCTTCTTACCATTCTCAACACATCGGACCTTTACTTACCACAGGGTGCTAAGCGGGCATTGATTCGGTGTCTTTTCTTACGCTTATTTCCTTCGTCAGCGAGCATTTGGTGCGTTTATGGATTCCCGCTAGAATTCCTCCTCCATAATTGCCTGTTCGTCTATAGTTTCCTTTCAGGACTGTCACGCTTATTTTACCCTGCTTGTGCTGCACATGAATACTGTATTGATGCTAGAACAGATTTAAAGGTCATAATACTTTGAATCGCAGTATACCTAGATTTAGTGAGAAACAATCCATCTCTTCATCAATTTCCCATCGAGATCTTTATGCATCTGTGAAGGCGTTGGCTAAATTGCTATAGGCCGGGGAAACCTCCTTCCGAGCCGGTCTCCGCAAGACATCGTAGCAAAAATTACTCCGCAGCTTCCAGCTTCCTTTTCCAAACCAAAATCCAACATACTTTCTGCACCTTGGGGAAGAATATTGTCACTTCTTAGTGGCACTCAGTTGAGATGGCAAGCAGTCAACCCTCTTTGGCTATTCCAGGTCAGCGCCTGGGGCCAGTGTCTTCTTACTCGGCAGGACCAGGTACCCACGTGCAAAATGCCAACATTTATGCATCCATTGCTGGACCAGTGGTTGTCCAACAAGCTCAACCCAGCTCCAAAGTAAAATCTATCCTCAGCGTCTCGCGGAACTTGCCGAGGAAAACGGACCCTTCTACCTCGACCACACCTGCAAAAACGACAACAACTACGAAGCCCAAACTGAGGTACAACACTCTCCCCGCTGTCGACTCGATTGTGTTAGCACGCGTCACCCGTGTCCAGAAACGCCAGGCCACAGTCTCCATCCTCGTCGTCCTCGACGAGTCGGCTGGGTCCCAAAGCCCCAATCCGTCGAAGACGGCTTCAGACAACGACAACATCGTCTCCATACTCACTTCGGCGGCCAATCCTGAGAATCACAGTAGCTCCGACGAGCTTCGCTTCCAGGCGCTTATCCGGAAGGAAGATGTGCGTGCTGTTGAGAAGGATCGCGTCGTGATGGACGAGATGTTCCGTGTTGGAGATATTGTGCGTGGTTCCGTCATTTCCCTGGGTGATCAGAGTTTCTATTATCTTACCACTGCGCGCAATGACCTTGGTGTCGTCATGGCACGTAGCGAGGCTGGCAATATGATGTTTCCGGTTAGCTGGAAAGAGATGAGAGACCCCGTCACTGGTGCTGCAGAATTGCGAAAAGTTGCTCGGCCTTTTTGAGCGGTGTCGACGATTGGATGAGATGACGCTTCGGGATTGAAATAGATCGGCGTCGCCTATTATCGAACTTCACACCATTGATATTTCCGAGAAGATCATTTCTCCGACGCTCTTGGCTTGTCTTCTGGTCATTCCAGAGCGAGATAGATCCCGGAAACCTGGTTGTGCGAGAAAAACTCGCAATCCGCTGGTTTCTTCGGTCCTTGAGGGGCCATTGACTATGCCTTTGGTTAACACAGGCATTCTGATCGCCCATATAGCGGGGCCGGGATACGTCGGCGCGACGTTGACGAACAAGAATAGACATGAGATACCCATATGCTCAGTTCGCTCGTGAACAATATCCTCCAGCATCACCGCCTACGAGGCTGTTAGCATGGCAGGACCTATTTTATTTTACTCATTTCTAATTTCTCAAATGAGAATGAACAAATCTTTTCTCCAGTTTCTATTCCTGGTGACATATCCCGGTAGTTCATTTCTTCACCTCCCAAGTATCCATGGTTCTGGCTTTCTCAATGCTGAACTGTGTTTGTCACGGGAGGAAGATTAATGGTTTGTTCCGCGTGGAGGACTACTCATCTTCTACGACCCTCGCCTACTATTCCTAGTCCTTGATTGATGGATGTGGGAAAATCTCTTTCGAGGGCACAAATTTTGTGTCTTTGCAGTATCCCTTTGTAAGATGGTAGCCATCGACTCGTTAGACTCCGCAAACAATTTTAATTCACATTCTATCATAATAACCACAATCTACTTCTTCAACGTCTTCTGCTTCTCCGCATCAATCAACTTCCTACCCTGCACAACCAACCCCTTCCTCCTCCGCACAGCATCCATATACCGTTTCGCCACATTTTCACGGTCAGCCAACTCTCCCAAATCCTCCAGCTCCTCCTCCGTAGCCGGGACCCAGAACGGATCCTCGTCTAGGGCCTCGAAGCCCGCGAAGATGAGCTGCGGCTGTGCAGCACCCGATGTCCGTTTGCGGATTTCCTCAGCGAAGCCGAATGACTCGGCAACGGGGAGGAGGGCCAGGATGGTGAAGAAAGGGGTTCCTTCTTTCATTGTTTCGGAGAGGATGCGGCCGCGGCGGCGGGTGATGACGCCGTACACACGGCCGAGGACCTCGGCTGTTGTAGCAGTGTTAGTCTGTGTTTTGAGATGCGCAAGATGGGGCAGGGTGATCAGTGTGGGACTAAACGTACTAGAAGCTTGAATCTCGCAACTGTACATTGCGAGCATGATCCGGGGACTCCAGTCGAGGAAACCTTGAGTAATACTCTCGCGGACTAGTCGGATGACTTCGCCTGTCAGACGACCAAGGTCTAATTCTTCTTCGCTGGCGTTGATCGATAGTTCTTCCAGGAATACGGCGATGCCTTGGATAGGTTCATTACAGAGAGGGCCTTGACCTGTTGCGAGCTGGAAGGCGTGAGCGAGCTTGTCGTTGAAGTCGCGGACCGTCAGGGAGTCGCGGGTGCTTTCTTCGGTTGTAGTGTTGGGTTGCTGTTTGGGGTCGTCGAGTAGGCTGCGCCAGTTAGATTGAGGAAGTTGTCGGAAACTGTATCAGACTTACAATTTCTCACAAGTGTTTACCGCAGTGGCGTCAACCAAGATATTCGGTCCAACTCGTCGAGGGCCGAAAGCAGTGATCCGGTCGACGACATTTGCCCATAATTCTTTGTCCTCCTTAACTTCCTCGTTAAAGATCCGGGTGAGTTCCTTTTTGAAGTCTTTCAAGGGAAGCTGATTGCCCTCTCTGGCTTCTCCAGAAGCATCGCTGGACTCAACCTGTTGTGTGGTCTCCAACGACCCGTTGCTTGCTTCCGCGTCGGATTTGGTCTCACCCGCTGAGCGTTTCTCGGACTGGAGACGCTTGATTGTTCCAACGTTCTTGGAGATGAAGTCCGTCACTGCCTCAGGTAGGGGCACAACGCGCAACTTGACAGTCAGCTGTTTCGAAGGAGAAACGGCCAACACACATCCTCGGCCAAGTTCTGGCTTCTTTGGAGGCGTCATTTCCGGCGCGCTGATAATTGTTTCCCGGTATGGCACGATTGTCTGACCGGTTTGGATCTCACATTTGGCAAAGCGTTCGCGGAGATCTTTGATGCAGCGCTCAAGATGCAATTCACCAGCAGTCAGAATCACATGCTCACCACTAGGGAGAACCTCATATTGTGCACATGGGTCGCTTTGTTCGAGGAGGCGCAGACCGGTGACCATCTTGTTCAGGTCTGCAGGGTTCGCCGGCTCAAGGGAAACTCTTACAATTGGTGGGGCGTTTAGCGAGACGCCAGCCAAGTTGATACTTCCTTCAAGCTGCGAGCAAAGAGTTCCATTCTTGAGGACATGGCCTTCAAGGCCACCGATACCGAAAATCACTCCCGCGGGAACGGTCTTGAGCGGCTCTAGGCTCCTGCCCATAAGGAGATATAGATCCGTGACTTTCACCTTTTGTGGCTCAGGGTGTGCATGAGGATTCGCCGGAGAGAATTTGGGGGCCAACACATAGACCTCATCACCAACTGAAAGGGTGCCTGAGTACAATCGTGCGAAGCCAATCAAGTGCTCCGGGTCTTCCTTCTCCTCTGGTTCCCCTTGTTCCTCTCTGTCATCCAGCGTGGTCACTTCGAATGCAGATGTGATACGCGCGTAGTCGTCCGTCTCATTTCCGTTTCCGCCTGCCTCAGCCTGCATTTTCGCAATCTCTTCTCGCTTCTTGCGTGCGATTTCGCGGGCTTCATCTGCCGACAAGGTCGCACCGGAGCGCTTTTTGCTAGACAGTAGCTCACTTTCAGGGATCGCAACCATCTTGCTGACATAGGCTACCACAGGAGCGTCTGTGCCTGTCTTGAACGCTACCATTGCGTCCTTAACCTTCTTGTCGACAAACTCAGCGCCAGGCGAGCCTTCAATGAGTCCTGGTAGTCGAGTGGCTTGGGCAGCCGGTGGGCTGGGAAGATATTCAATGACAGACACCAAAACAGCAGTTGATAAAGGAAGCCACATCGAGAACAAGGTCATCATGATGTTTCTAGGGTCACGAGAGCGAAGAATATAAGGCGGAATGGTGATGTTCAAGGACTTAGTGATCTTCTCCAACAAAGCTGGATCGCTAATATAACATCAGTATCAAAACAATCTCCAATCTCAGCTGTGCAACATACCCTTTGCCTTTCCCTCCACCAGTTGTAGCTTCATATGCAGCCCAGATACTGTCTAACACCAATTGAACAAACATTGGCTTGAGGGCACGTCCTTTCAAATGCTTCGACCCCAAGACACGCTTCGTCTTAGGGTCAAGGTAAAAGTCTCCCCATAGCACTTTCTCAAGAATCGACCGTTTGATTCCCAGTTTCCTCTCGTAGAGAGCAGCGAACTGTCGAACGGTGAAAGCCCAGCCATCGATGGCACTACAGAAAATGACATTGTTTTTCTCCGGAGCGAAGTAGATTTCCTCATCGTCCTTTTCCTCAAATTCCGCCTCATCGACGCTGCTCATGTTTGTCTCATCGCCTTGTTCCTGCTTCTGAGCGGTTCGAGCAGCCGAGGCATTGATACGGTCTTCCATCCGCTCTCGCCACTGAAGGTCTTCCTCCATCCGTTCGCCCTGATAGAAACTTCCGATGACAGCGTTGACTTGCTCTAATAGTCTGCTTAAATGAGAGTAAGCTTCACTGGGGCTCATTTTCAACTCTCCAACCAGTCTGTCGATCTTGTTGATGACCAAAATCGGTTTGAGCTGCTCGACCCAAGTCTGACGTAGCACTGTGACAGTTTGACTGCAGACACCCTCAACGGCATCGACAAGGACAAGAGCACCATCACAGAGCCTTGAAGCTGTCGATACTTCGCTGCTGAAGTCGATATGCCCAGGCGAGTCGATCAGGTTGATCAGGTACTCTTTGGGCTGAGGAGCAGCATCAGGAGACGAGCGACGCATCATGGAGAAATACAGGGAGATAGCAGACGACTCCATAGTGATTCCTCGAAGCTGCTCATCTGGACGTGAGTCCAGATAGCGGATCTTGCCCGCCAACTTCGGGGAAATAATGCCATTTGTGGCAATGAGACCATCTGTTAAGGAAGTTTTCCCATGATCCTAACTCATCGTAACAATCAGAATCAGACGCGCTCAGGCAGTCGGTTATGCTATAGAGTACTCACAACGTGGGCAAGAATACAAATCTGCGGGATGGTTAGCGCTGAACAAGTAGAAAATATGACATCAAGGTGGGATGGAGGGGTAGCTCACATTCCGTATGTCCTCAGACCTCTGTTGGAGACGGACAAGATCATCTACATTAACGATAGGCATCTTAAAGAACCATCGAGTCTATGAATTTTTTCCAGCGTTGACAACCAGAGAGAGTCCTGGTAAGGTGAACTTTTAAGGCGGTTCCTCGGTGTTCCGCTGTCGCCGAAACGGACAAAATTATCTTCGGATTATGTGAAGTCAGAGAGAGAGGTTTCAACATCACCGATAACAACACACCAAGGAGAGCTCTGTAACAATAACTTGGCAGAGGTTCTAGGTGAAAGACATGGCCTCACCTTATCGGCCAAATGGTCAACAGGCCTACTGGGTTTACCAATGCACGGCTATATATCTACCTTAAACTCCATTAGCAGGGGTACTATACTCCCATGATATCATTATCTAACAAGCGTTATCAAGAATTAAGTATAGCATGTTTGCCTTATTCATCGAATGATAGCTTGATCTTCTTCTTCTTTTGCTTCTGCTTTGCTTTTTGAGGTCCAGTGCTCTCTTGCTGCGTGCCATTCTCAGCTTCAACATTATCATCTCTGATGACTTTCGCCTGTTTCCGCTTCTTTGGGCCTCCTATTCCAGCCAAATTCTGCTTTGAGGACGCTTCCTCGATGTCGGCTTTTTCAGTGTCCTGTTTCGACTCGTGGCCCGACTGTTGTTCGGATGACTCAGGTTGTTTCTCGTCACCGCGCAGTAGTGTTTCATATTCTTCCTTCGATAT